GCCCCTCAATGTCCTTCTTCTAGTGAGGGGCCCAGAACTGGACACAGCCCTTGAGGTGTTGGCTCACCAATGCTGAGTACAGGGGGACAATCTCTTCCCTGGTCCTGCTGGCCACACTGTCGAGGATACAAGCTAGGATGCCATTGACCTTCTTGGCCATCTGGGCTCACTGCTGGCTCATGTTCAGCTGCTGTTAACCAGGATCCCAGCTCCTTTTCCAGTGGGCACTTTTCCAGCCAATCATCTGGGAGTGTTGGTGGGGTTCCTTGCATGGGGTGTTGTGACCCAAGTGCAGGACCCAGCACTTGGCCTTATTGAACCTCACACCACTGACCTTGACCCATCACTCCAGCCTGTCCAGATCCCTCTATAGAGCTCTCCTACCTTCCAGAAGAACAATACTACCAACCAACTTTGTGTCATCCACAAAGTCACCTTTGCTGCCCTTGATCCCTTGATAAAGATCTCTTTAATAAAGATAATTAAGAGGCCTGGCCCAAATAATGGGTCCTGTCCCCAGTACTGAGCCCTGGGGGATACTCCAGGCCTGGCCATCCAGCCAAGTTTTGGCCCTGTGAAGGGTGCACCCATCCACACCATGGGAATCCAGATTCTGAAGAACATCACAGGAAACAGTATCAAAGACTTTACTGAAGTCCAGGTAGACCATGTGCTCCAAAGAAGACAGATGCTACGCTGTCGTCTCTAAAAGAGACTCTTACACTCCTCAATCATTCAGGAAAACAAAACCTCACCCCACCTATTCTGCTGCTAGTCTGAGTCTGGGAATCCACATCTCAACCCCCCCAGAACAGAATGGACAGCCATTGCAAAATGCTTCATGCTGAACCGTGCTGTGGTCACTGCTCAGGGAGGATGCTGGAGGCATGTCAGAGAAGAAATCACACCAAGCACATGGACGTGAAGGTCAGCAGCAGCTTGAGAAACCACAAAACATTCAGAATGTGATGTGGCATGAGATGAGTTTGGCTGCCGAGGCCCCCATTTCTCACAGGCTCAACTGGCAGCACACACGGTACCATCTGTGGTACAAGGCAATCCTGGTGTGTTTGCAGCCCACAATATATCAAAAACTATCCATAAATAAGCTATGGTTTGGTTGCTGCCATGGAAGAAATACAAATATTCATCTTGCAAGTTGTAGGTGCTATCCTAAGGCAGTACTGGTTTCTCTTAACAGTATCAACCAGATTTAAATTTAACTTATTTATCACTGGAGATTCCAGACTTTAAAAGTTTCTGCAAGGCAGGCAGATGTTTCTCCATCCCTCAAGCTTTCATACCAAATGAGTCTTTGGAGGAGGACAAGAAAATTCTGCCTGTCACATCAGCAGTGGTCTGTTGTTGTGGCTGCAGGTGCAGGGTAAGCCCTTCAGAAAGGGCTATAAGCAAGTATGAGTAAAAAAAAAATCCATAAAGAGCTCTGTGAATACCCTCTTTTGTCTTGGACATCTCAGTATCTCTGTTTTCCAGACTGAGAAAGGGCTGTGACTATGTGTGGATGCTTACACTGTCCTCCACCTGCTCCCAGACCATCCTTGCGTTGGCCTGATCTACCTGGGAGCTGGCAGAGAACTTCTTCTCCTGCTGCATGTGAATTGACCACAGTAGCTAATGTGTCCCACCATGCCCATATGAAGAAGAACTAATAAAAATCCAGTCTCCTGGAGGAAAGTTTTATCTATTAACATTACCAAGCTCTTATGGGCTTTTCTACAGCTGAGAAATGTGTTCTGTGTACCTTTTGTCCCTGCCTTTATTTTATGTGCATTACCAAACTTATAAATCTTCCCACAGTCTTTATATTCTGGATGAAGGCCATAAGTGTTCACAAGTGCCAAATAACTACTGGCAACTACAGTCCCAACACCAGCCTTCAAGAAATGCAAAATGCACCATTCTCAGCTACTTATGGGGGCTTTATTCCTTATTACATGGGATACCAATACACAGCAAAGGAACTCTGAGTCCTATTTATGAAAATGGTGGTAATGATATTTTGTGGATTATGATTTCACAGAATCACAGAATATTTTGAGTTGGAATGGACCCACAAGAATCATTGAGTTCAGCTCTTAAGTGAATGGCCCATATGGGGATCAAACCCACAACTCTGCATTATTAGCACTACACTCCAACCAATGGAGCGAATCTCAGTGATTTGTGTGGGCCAGTGAGATTTTGGCAGGAAGAAATTCAGCACTTAAGTACATTTCAGCATTTTCATGCATGGTAGGGGAAATGTGTATAGTTACATATGTCCAAAGAGATCAGGAAGATTATTTCAAAACTGAGAATTTGATGCTTTTGCAGCGTTTATACAATTCCTCTTAAACCACCGTTTTCCTTTTTAAAATTAGCATTGGTGTTTGTTTCCTGTGTGAAACCTGGTTTGTGTCTGACCAATAAAAGTGAAGAAAAATGTGTCAGGAAGCCATTTTGAATACAGTGCCTCAGCTGCAGAATACAGCTTCTCTGAGTAATTGAAATGAAAGTCAGTATTAGTAAAAAGACATTGCATAATTCAGTTGTGGCTGGAAAATTACCACTGAGATTGGCAACTGGATGCAACTATTTCTATTACTTCCCATCCCTTTAGGTGGGGTAAGAAATACTTAATAAAAATAATAGAACAGGTTTTATTTTATTCCATATTGTGGATATAAAACAATACTGCTAGAAAAAAATTGCCTTTAGGACAGGAAATGTTTCAGTCTCCACTGCTGTTCAGTCAAGAGTCTTTCTGCTGGTTCTGCCAACAAGGATGCCCATTAGTGTCCAGTAACATTTTGGTATTGCTGATGAGAGACAAAATAATGGAAGCACAGTATGGTGAAATGAATTATGGTACAAAGACAGAGAAAAATAGCTTTCTTCTGTTTTTTAATTGGATCTAGAACTCTGTAAGATGGGTGGGAGGGTGTTGGGGACAGAATACCTTTTCTGCTGTTTTACAATTTATGTCCCTAATTCTGTACCAGTAGTTGTCATTTTGAGCCCCCTTCTCAGAGGAAGCCAGCATTACAAGAATCTTCAATGTGCACAGATCATGTCCAGTTGCTAAGATGAACCCCAAATCAGCTCCATGTTAATTCTGCCAGTACTTTCATCAACATTCCTGACACTATCTAGACAAATTGTTGCAGTGAAATGAATGAAATCTCCTTTCACAAAGGAGAAAATGTGCACAAAGCATGTTCACTCATAGAAGACAAATATCAAGGACACCATTCAGTTTTACTTTACTCCCAGCATCCCCATCAACTCCTTGCAAAATCACCACTCAGTAATGTTTGTTTTATTAAAAACTGAGTGAGGAAGATGACAGTACCTTGCAGCAATAACCTGGTCTGGACAAGTGAGAAGACTACTTCCTCAGCAATCAACTAATTCCCAGAACCGGGCTAGTGTCACTCAGGAATGACCCCTGAAACCTGGCCTGACAGGAGCAAAGTTATTTCCCTGCAAACGCGCCCTGCTGAGCATTTGCCTTAGTTAATGAAACAATGGTTGATCTACAAGAAAAGCCACATCCTGACTTTCTTAGCTCTGCAAAGATCTCAGTATCTAAGAAAACCACCTTTGTACCAAATGTTAACTCCTCACTTTATTTTCTCTGCAAAAACATCTGTATCAGCATAAATCTCACTTATATTTTTAAAAAAAATTTTTGTAAGTGTCCTGGTTTAGGACCCCAGGATAGTAAGGATAGTATGTAATACACAGAAAATGTTCAAGTAAAAATAGGAATTAAATCATTGCTGCTGTAAAGAGGAGGGGTGGCATACCTTTCCTGTCCATCAAGCTCTGAGCAGTTGGCACTCCATAAATCATAGGAAGTACAGGAGTAATTATAGAAGTGGAAGATGATCACTGTAAACATTCAGAAGTAGCTCCTAGTAATTGCAAGTTAATGTGAATATGATTAGAACCATGACAGAACTGTGCAGACCACTTACATGCCTGTTTTTCTCTATTCATTAAAACTAGCTTTTCTTGTGAAGCAACAAGCAACCTAGTCAATCTAGCACCTTGTGTATAACAGCTTCCTGATATAATCTCTTTGTTTTCTGTCAGAATTAGGTTTGATGCAACAACACTTGGACCACCAGGATATGATTATTTTCACATTGTGCACTAAGCAATGTAGGTAACAATTTCTGCCATTCTGTGGTCATCTCCTGGCACCTCTTCATTCCTCCCAGAGGCACTGCCACTCCTATGGTGGGAACTGCCTGGTCACAGAAGGGCAACAGATAATGACACCATGTAAAATGGGGCCAGGGGTGTTAATTTCTTCACCCTCGGGCAGTAGAGTGAGAAAACTCTGTCTCCTCCACCCTTAACAGAAGGAGCTTCTTGGTGAAGCTGTAATTGCCAGACACATTATACTGGACTATGAAGAAATATTTGATTCCTGCCTCAAAGTTATACCACCAGGACAAATACAGTAACACTTCAACCAAAAGTGACATCCTCCTTCCTGCCCAAACATACTAGAACAACACTGTTATATGCTTTTCTGGCATAAGACTATGCTCTGTTCTGTCTACAAATAGGGAGATAGATAGACCCTGAAATTTTTATCTTGCATACAGAATTTAGCTAATTTATGGTTCCAATCCCTATTTGATCGTTACAAATCTATTTACCTCAATTACACACATTGCAGATAGCAAGTTCTACAAGTTAATTACTGCAAGTGTAGGAATACTGACTTTCATCCACATCCTTAAATTGTTATTATAAAGTTTCAAATTCCAGCCAGACTCTGCATTTGAGGAAGAATTTTCAGAACTAATACAACTCACTTTTGAAAAAAACACCCTTCTACTAAATAAAATTACTTAGACTCCTGTCTGAAATCATTTAGAACCTAAACATACTGTGATTAGGAGGACAAGGGCCCCTCCATGTGATTTGAGCTGAGGAAAGTGCTACAGTAAGTGTAGGTTTGCTGCTTGGCAGTAATGTCTCACCATGCTGGATAATCCCGTGCTCCAAGAGCCTGCGGCCGAGCTGCTCCGCTTCGCTCCGTGTCGCGGCCTCGCCCTCCTGGACCAGCCAGTCCATGAACTCCGACGCCACAAAGGTCCGCTCGTACTTGACTCCTTCCTCTTCCCTGGCTTGCAGAAGGGTGTTTTCAGAACTCATCAGCCTGGTGTGGTGGGGGGGAAAATTGGTGGGGAAAATGATTCTTCAGAAAAGCAGTTCCAGATCTATTCTGGCAAATCTCATTTATATCAAGCAAATGCATATGAAGCTCTCACTGACTTACTAAATCTTTCCTCAAGCTATCAATCTACTTAGGAAGTGAATGAAACTGCTTAGTAAACAGATTTAGGCTTTATATCCCTGTGTGAAGTTAATGCTTTCTTCTTTTTTAGATTTTTAGGTTTTGCATTTCCCCTATTTAGTGTTTAACATTCTCTAAAAGTTACTGTATAATCAGCTTTGAAAAAAAATTAGCCTAAAAGCACCAGAATGTGACTAATGTGTTCAAAGCTTCCTAATTAATATTTACTGTTAGCAGGATTATGCCCCAAAGTCATTTAGATGACTTTGAAAATTCTTCCCATAAGCTCTAAAACAGCTGCAGAAAAATTCAAGAGGCAAAAAGGTAGTTCTGTGGTTTGGAGGCAGATAAATATTGTGCATCCAACATTTGATGATGCAGTTGCAGTCAGCAAGTTGCACAAGGACTTGAACACATTTTATCATCTGAGGCTCACAGTTCTCTGTGCCTCAGCTGGCTCTCTGTAACACCTGCCAGAGGAAAACTATGAGATGTCCCAAAATCTCTTAGCAACTGGTGGCTGAGTAGCTGAAGGATACTTATAAAACTCTTTTCTATTCAAGATGCCTATGCAAATGACATAATCTTAAAAAAAAAAAAAAAAAAGTGCCTCAATATTTTGTTGATGCAAAAGGCAGTTTTAAAAAAGAAGTGAGAATAATTTCTTTCTAATACAGAATTCCACTTTTTCGTAGGAAACTGAGCACCATAGCATCCTTATTAACCTTTTTTTTTCATAACTATATTATTTATTATAGGCTAATAATAGGACTAGTGGTAAGACTTTCAGAGAAATAGTTCAAGAAATGGTTTTTCCATGTAAGACTAACAGGTCCCCTCCCTTCACCAACTATTTGGAAATAAGGACACATCTGAACTACAGTAGTCATATTCTGGAAGTGCTGAATCTTTGTCCTTCTGATAAAGGAACTGAAATTCAAATAAATCCATACACGAGCCATCTGCTTCTTAAACTGACAGCATGTCCAGAGATTATGGAATATAACTTCATCTCCTTTGCGAAGCATCAGAAAAATCTGTGCCATAGGAACACAGAGAGAAGTTCCATTTGAAATTACAGTGGAGGTTTGACATGGTCCAACCTCTTTTATTCACCTAAAAGACTCTTCTCTTCACTTGAATGAGCACTAACCTGAGGCCTGAACCTACTGGATCTGACCACCAAGTAGCAGACCATCAAACCAGCCCCAGGCTGCTCAGCCACAGCTGAATGTCGGTGGTAGCACAACAAACTGCTCGTTCAGGTGGTGTGTCATTGCCAGCACCTCTGAGCTGAGTAAGAACTGAGAAAGCCAAATTAGCTGAAGACAATGTATCGACTCCAGAATTCTTGCAGACTTCATTATTTTTTTAATATTTTAATTTACAAGCATTTTGTCCCACAACATTTTGTCCCACACTCACCACCTCTAATACAGTCCTACTATGCTCCAAGGGGCTATCTTTAAATACCTCTCGCTCACCAGGCTTTTTCCCTCCAGAAAAAATATGCAAACCCAAAGCTTGTGTCTTTTCATACCATCTGTTACATGGCTACCCAGAACTGGTTACCCAGGCTCTGCAGGCACCAAATAAAAAATCCTTAGGATTGTCTTAATTGTTCTTTGATGAGTCTATAATTAGTTGACTGCCTCATTGAAATCGCAGATAGAAAGGTCCTTGAAAAGGCAGTGCTAATGGTTAGATTTTTACAGAGACACAAAAGAAATCTGGAAAAATATCAAGTGGAAAAACACTCAGTTTGACATTTCACACCCTTCTGCATAAGCCCAGAATAGCACTGCAAAGGATTTGGACTTGTGAACAAACAGACACGACAAATTGCCAGTTTAAGAAGCCCAGACACAGCAATCCATGGACTTACGTCACTCACTGAAGTAAATCACTGTAACTCCATGGCTGTCAACAAAACTGTACCAATTTACATCAATCAAAAACTTGGCCTTTCATTAGGCAGAACTGGAAACTTCCTTTTACTCTTCCATTTTTTCCTTGTTCCAAAACAACACGAGGCTGTTAATGCCAAAACATATTTACTAAAACTGGTGTTGTCCTGTATTAAAGGAATGTACTTATCCAAACACTAAAATTCAAACTCCTTTTCAAAAGAAGTCTTTAACCTTGTTTTTATCAAAATAACTGCACCAGAGGATAAAAGCAACTCAACCACTGATGAGTTAAACAGAAAGTGATTCCAAGAATGCAGTCTCAAAATTATCTGAAAGATTTCCTGAAATTAAAACCATAAATCTGCACTTCTTTCACTGTGAAATCTGGTTCAAAAATCTCAGTTGATGTCAGCATCATGAAATGACTTATAGCTCCTATGCATGACTGCACCAGAAACAACAATCTTGTGTGTCTAACCAAACCCTACTGAGAATAACAAACATCATAAAAACAAGGTGCCTGCAACAATTTGATATTTTTTTTTTTAAAGCTACAAAAGGTCTGTGATGGATTTATAAAAGATTTGCAGGGAGATTTTTGTTGAACAGGAAACGTTTATCTCATTCAAAGTATCTGGGCAGTCCTGTAGAGCTTAAAACTGATACCAACCTTAGATCTTATAAACTATTCAACAATTTCAGATGAGACTGTAGGAAATCCAGTAGTTTTCATCTCTAGTTATAAACCTGAACCTCAAAGCATGTTCACAGATAGGGTTACCAAAGTTTCCAACAATATGCCAGGAATCTGAACTGATTCATGATTTTCAGTGCAAATGAAGGGAGAATACAATCAGAGACTGATTTTAAATCTTCTAATCCCACAGGTACAGCCACCAAAGATGCCCATAGTGGGTGAAGGGGGTAATACACAAGAAAGGAGAGTCCAGGATACAAGGAGCTTCATGGTCATGCAGAAGAGAGATGGGAAAGGGAGCTCCTCAGCAGAGGGACAGCCCTGATATTCCCATGTCCCAGGGCAGAGAACAAGGCATTTACCCAAAACAGCTGTCTGAATGTAAGGAACCTGCCTAAGATATCCATGCAACCTGTTGATACTCCTAAAGCATTTTGTTAATTTTACCTGAGGGTACAAATCTGCATGGACTGGTATTGGGTAATTTTGGCAAGCACAAACTACCTTGGCTTCTGAACCCACTGGTACTCCAGCCCCAATCAGAGAGTGGAAAAGAGTAAGAAAGAATTATAATGTCTATCTTAAATTAGCAAAGCCTAGTAAAGGTCAGCAAACTCTACAAAATTATAGACAGATTTTCAAAGCGTGTTGGATTTGGATAAATTTCCTTTGGCATGGCTGCATTTCTGTTGCAACCAGGCCTATAGGCATTTTGATAAACAAGTTGAATACACTGGTAAATTACTTAATGTTTGTGCACAAATACTTTTCTCTGGTTGCTGCCATTTAGTAATTATTTTTAATAGCACTGAATTAATATTTTCTTTCTCAAGACTATTAGCAAACTGATACAACAAATATATTACATAATCACACATTTCACTGCAGAGCTCCTCCTGATTTTCAGCATAAGATTTTGAGTTTAAAGGTTATCCAAAGAAATTCTGAAGGTGTTGCTAATAAAGGTGAATAGACAAGTAAACTAACAAAGTCTGAAATCTCTGCACAGGTTTGCTAAAATAAACAAAGTTAAGCCCAGTTATGACTTCTTATCTCCCAAGAATATAAAATACTTCCGATGATCCATGGAGAATTTTGACTACCTTTGACTGTCATATACTGGTTTTGAAATTACAGGTATTTTTAATTTATACTATATTTAGCACTCAGGGCTGTTTTTAAAAGTTTCTGAACCCTTCAAATATGTTGCCTAGGAGCAAGCACCACTCAATGATGAAGTTATATTCAGATACAGGTGCTGCTTTTGGCATTAACTCCTTTGCCAAGATAGGAACACTCTCTACAGTTATGAATATTTTTCTACTACTACAGAGTTAGACAAAGTGGATCACAGACATTGGTTTGGGGATAGTTCTCCATTCAGAGAAATGGTGATGGAAGCAGACACTATTAGAAAAGAGTTCTTTCTACTACGGCTCCTTTCATGCAGAAGACTGACATCAGCCTTGCCAACAAAAATAATTTTTCTTATGGATAATTGAAATAGAAATATAAACTTTAAAAAGCACCATAGACACTCTAATCTGCTTTTCAGAGTATGGATCAGGCTTGTAGACACTGCATGTTTGCTAAGTCTAAAGAGAAAATGCTGTGCTCAGTAAGGCACAGAAGAGTTTGAAGGTAGCTGATTCATTTCACCTGTCCCAGTGCATAGAGTGGAGGATTTTCTCCAGTGATGCATTTTCTTATGTCTTATACAGTTTATTATATTTTTACTTTAAATAGTCATAGCCACTGTGTCTTGGGGAATTTGATATGATGGGTGTAACAAAAGGTGTGGCATTTACAAGTATTTGTTTATATTTTGGGTTCACTGCTCTTTCACCAAACTGTTCTTCAGAGCCAGCTAACGTTGAAAATAATATTTATTAGCAGCTTTTAAACCTGTGAGTTTCCTGAGTGCTTTCTTCTCAGAAGGAAACAAATTTCCTTTATCTAGAAAGCACATCATCTCTCCTGGCTGCTGCACACTTCTGCTCCAAACAAGCAGGAGAGTAGGTGGTATTCAGTCTAGAGCAATACTTCAAGCTTTTTGGTAAACAACACATCACAATTTTTGCATTAATTTGTAGCATATGCCAACATGCATTTTCTTCTCTCTGCTTAAAAGTACCATGTCAAAATTTCTAAATCCTGAATAAAAATGTCTTTAATTTAATATTAGGAAGTATTGTTAAGATACCTAGTTACTTGATGGAAGTAATCCAGTGGGATATTTAGTATCTCAGTATAATAATCTGTTTAAATTAGATAATCAGATGTTCTTGGTTGGTTTGGTGGTTTTTTTTGAAATTGCATTTAACATAACTTTTCTGATGTTGAAACTTTGCAGGCTGGAACACTGGAGATTCATATCACTGGTGATTTAAAATCATGCCTCCCTGTGAAGCTGTAGATATGGAGTCTCCACAGACATGTGGCTGCTTGTTCAATAATGTTTTAGGAATTATAATTATGCTTTTACATATAAAATAATTCTGTAATTATTTGAATTATTTTGACAAATAATTCTGTAATTATTTTTACAGAATAGATTTCAAGGGCTTCAATTCACATTGAATTCTCATATAGGATGTATTTACAATCTTGGGCATCAGATTTTAAGCAAAATGCCTCAAGTGAATACGGTAGAAAAGCAAAAGAAAAATAGGAGAAGGAAGGACTCCCACTTGAAGTAATGGAATTGCCCAGATCCATTCCTGCATGAATTGAAAGCCTCTGACAATTCAAAAATAGATTAACAAGTATTATTTGCCTCACATGGCACTGTTGTCAATATATTACAAATACTGAATGCAACATACTTTTCATACAGTCTTTGTCCTCTCATGAACACCTTCACCTCATTGTCCAGTGGAAATGTCCCGTCATCTTTTCTGAAGCGGTAGAACAGTTTGACATCCTTGAATTCTTTATGCTCATCACAGACTGAAACATAAAATAATTAAACAAATAAAAAAAAATTCACACACAAGTAGCTGAGGACCCATTTAGCAGGTACCACTGCTGAGCTTCAAAGCAAGCATGTATATAGTCTGTCCCCCTGTATTTCTCAGCACACAGTTTTACTCCATTCTAATGAAAGGCTGGAGAAAACATTGAAAGGTAACCAAATTTCTTGGTGAGAGGAAGAAGTGTCCATCAGTTTTGTAAGTATTACTGCAAACATAAAGACTAAAAAAGCATCCATCCACCACATACCCAGAAAACCTTTTGATGAAAACAGTCTGTTGTCTTGTTTGTTTAAAAGGCCACCAGAGTAGAATGCCCAATAATTTAAGGTTTGCCAAACTTCTTAAAGTTATTCATACTTAGCAGTGCTGTAGAAAACCTGAGAGTTCCTAAAGAAACAGTTAAAACCAAAGCATTCTGCCTCCTTAAAACTGTCTCAATTGCTCTGCCATACCAGCTAGTAAATGGTAGGTACAACATGAGCACACCGAGAAATGCCAGATCAGATTTGTAGAACAGCAGCTGATGATGGGCTCTTGTAAATGCAGAACAGAACTCCATCAAGGGCATAAACTGATGGGAAAGCTATCCCGAGCAAGGTAATCCTAACACAGCTGTCAACCCACATACATGGGGACCACAGAAGCACGAACTGGTGTCCCTTTTACTTGACATGGCACTTGAATGTTCTAAGCATCCTGCAGAACCTGATAGAACCTCTCTGAATTCACCTGCCCAAACTCACTTCACAAAGTATTTGATTAGAGTGCAATACATGAACATTTTCAAGAAACACCTGTTCCATTTCTAATATCTTCACACACATATATAAAATCTTTTCTACAGTTTTCAATTGGATGGTAGGGTAGAAAAGGCTTGAAGGCTGTTAGAGCTTTCAACAAGCATTCAGCAATAAAATATCTATTGCTCAATTAAATTAAGTCACTCAGGCATGCACGCAACTCTTCACTGACATTTTCTCAATAGAGGATTAAGTAGACAGATTTGAATACCCTATAATTACTTTATTCTTTAACTATCTACCGTGAGTCCCAGTTTCCATAACAACCCAGAATTTTCATTTAATAGCCAAGTAGAAGCTGTAGAAGTGGCACTCACTCAATATGTGCATTTCTGACTTTAGTTAAGGTGTTGTTAATGTACTGCAGACAGCAGCAGCATTGCTGCACATACAATGACCTCTGCATAAAGTCAACATTCGTCTGTTCATAATCACTCAGTTTTCTCTTTAAAAAGAAACAAATGGCACATTTGCCATTCTGAAATGGGTAATACTAAAGGCTTGAAATTGAGGCCTTGGATCTTCTTTGTGTCCCAAAAGGCAACTAAATGCTACCAGTGAATTGGAAGTCTTTTCATCAGCATGAATTGTTATTCAAGAAGCTGAAAGGAATAGATCTCAAATAGACAACAAGTTTAGGAGAAAATTAATCAGGGCACAGCCAGACCACTTTCTTGCAGCTGTACCAGCACTAATGTTTGTGCAGCTGCTGTGAGGGCCAGGGCCAGGGAATTAATCCACGTGAGAAAAATGATTTTTTTTTTTTTTCTGGCTGATTTTTCAGATGGGTTTTTCAGATGGAGAACTGTGCTCTTAGGAGCAGCAAAATGAGGGCTGCAGGGAGAGGGGGAACACGATCCAGCTGAGGCTGCTCTGGAGACAGGGAAGTAGCATCACACTCTCCAGTAAGTTTCATGGGGAACATCACTCCATACCTGTTCAAGTTCTCATCTCCTTCAGGATACAGGTGACCTTGCATAGCAGCACAGTTCAAGAGATGCTCCATATCTGGCCGAGAAAGAATCCTACCTGTCCTATACTTGGCTGAAGAACAGGAGTGGGATTTCCCTTTGTCTCACAGCAATCAGTAAATTTAGCTTAGAAGTTTTTAGCAGGTGATACAGCACTTACCATGGTGGATAATGCTGTGATCCAATAATTTCTGCACCAGTTTAATGGCTGTCTCCCTGTCGGAGGCCTCTTTGTGGTCGATCAGCCAGTCAATCAGCTCTTTGGCCACGAAGCAGTTCGGGTACGTTTTGAGGTGGTGTCGTCGATCCTTAATGACCTTTTCTTCGTGCAGTCGGAGCCTGGGGGTCAAATCACCAAGTAAGGATTATTTGCAAAGAGCCTCTGTGACAGCAAGGTTAGGGTGAGAGAGGAGCAGTGGCACCCACACCCTGCTCACAGGATGGGCTTTGCAGGTGTTGGGCAGAAAAGTCACACATCCAGTGCTGGTATCTCACAGCCAGGGAACCCACGGCAACCATTTGTTACAACTTTAAACCCCATAATTAGAAAAACTTGTTTTCTGCTCAGTGGAAAAGTTTAAAAAACTGAAGAACAGCACAGCATATTAAGTCCATTAAAATACTTCCCGTAGGTCAATTAAACTGTCAATAATTTGGAATTAATTTTCCCACATTGCCACTAATGTACTCCATATTATATTTTAGTATTGCTGCTGCAGATTTTTTTTTTTTTAATCTCATTAGTTTTTCCAGCTGTATCTTCTCACTTGGTTGCGTAACTGCATTTTGCCTCCAACTGCACAACAAGGACAGCACTTATGATTTAAAATTCAGGTGTGAAGCTGCCCCAATACAGTGTAATCTATTATTAAAAAGTTGCCTCCTACTCCAAATAAAGGAAACTGATTTCTTGCTTAGGCATCTGTTGACAAACACTCTCTGCAAAATCTCCCTCATCATCCTGAAAGCAAGCTGGTTGAGATGCTTGGGTCAGAATGCAAGATCCTGATTAAAGCAATAACTTGAGGTTTTAAGGTTCTACATATTTATGTTTAGTCATTTTTTTTCCAAATTAAAAAAATAAGAAACATTAACAATAAATTAGCAGATAGAACTTCTAAAGTTGTTTTAAGTTTTATGCTTTCTTGTTCCATTTTAATGAATCATATCAGAAAAATTGGATTTGTAATGTCTATATGGCAGTTCTGAGGAAAGTGCAGAAATGACATTGTTGTTCATTTCCAAGTGGCCAGGGTCCTATCCTGTAGACACTCTCACTGACTGCAAAGAGTCCTGAGTAATGCTATAATAATTGTAGGCAGTACAACGGTAATAGCACAGAAGGGTGTTTACATGAGCCTCAAGAAGCACAGTGCAGAGTAGGAGAAATTTTCTTCTCAATGAAATTCCACTATAAAAAATAATTTCTCTTTAAAATCATAAAAAGGGAAAATATTTGGCTGAAATCAATGAAGAAAATTTATGAGGGCATCAGACAAGGCTTATATAGGCTTCTACCTAAAAATAGTAGCAAAGCAATGCTTTGTTCTGCAGCATTTAGCCTTGAAGTACACTGGAATTGCCAACCTACAATGTAAATTCAAATCCAGATTTGTAAACATAATTAAAAAAAAAAAAAAGTAAGACTTTTATATTAAAAATACTGATAAATCAGATTAGTATTCTGGAAAGAAATGTTGATAAATATCCTACAGATTGTGAAATTCTCTGTGCTAAAATACTTTCGCTTAAAGCATATTTTCCAAATGTGCTCTAACAGCTCTCCCTAGGCTTAGAAAGAAAAGCATTCACAGTTTTAATTATAATACATGCAATTATCATTATGTCTGATGGAGCTTTACAATTAAAATACATTCCAGGTTCTGTTAATGTTCATATGGTCTCATGTCACACAATAACCTGCAAGAACAAAACTAGAAAAAGAGTGTACCATACAAAGGCAGACAGCTCAATCCAACACAGTCAGCTGTGCAAGTCTAAATGGATGGAGTTCATCTGACACAAGAGGAAAAAACCCTTCTACAAAATTCTTTGTCCACATGTAGCATAGGAGGATACCAGGATTGGTCCGACATTTCACAAACAAGCCAGTAGTCAAGAGCCCCAGAAATGAGCATTTATTTCTTAAATTCCAACTTCAGGCTTTCCTGCAGTTGATGGGCTTATAAGTATTTCAATTCCTCTGTCATGCCAAAAGACACAGGTTCCCACTACAATATTTTGGCTCACTCAGAAAAAGGGTCTCTCTGTATACTTTTTTGTCTATATCTATAAAAATCATAGGTATTTCATGATCTGCCTTATTTCCACTTAAAGTGGATCCAAATTTGCTAAGAGGATACAAAATCATTAAGAGAAAGAAAACATGACCACATAATCCTTAACAAACCTGAATTTCCACATGAATGTGTGAATTCTTCTGCAGTCTATGCCAATTATGCCAATACTGAATTATGTCCAGGCTTATTTATTTGGAATAACAAACACAAAAGAAATTCAGATTTTCTCTTTGGTGGCATATGCTGTTCTCTTTGTCAATGCTCCCTCAACTCTACAAATCTGCTAAAAATCAAACTCTACGGAGGAGAAGTAGATCAATAAATTGACACTGTACATAGCTTAAATTACAAATATAGAAGCCTCAGGTAAAGTATTGAGTCTATATTGCAGTGTGCTTATCAAAGGTTCAGGCAGGAATTCAAAAAATCTGTCTCTGCTCAGAAGTATTTTTTGGAAGACAAGTCAAATGGAATAAAAAGGAATAAAATGTACCAGTGAATACAATTATATGCTGGAACCAATACTCAAGTGAAGTGGTAAATTCTTTATCCCTTGGCATTGAGAAGTATTCTGACTTCTCAGCCAAAGTCCTTGATGTTTTCCCTTTAAGTTATGTTAATGTTAATCACCCTATGTCAGCTAGTCTGCATGATGACTGGAAAACACCTAACTTAGCATCAAACACATTTTCCTCACTAGAAGGAGTTTTTCTCAAGAGCTGTTCAAGAGAATTAGCTGACTGACAAATCCTGACCAGTTCGAGAGGAGAAGGGGGAGAAGATAGGCAAACAACAAGGGGTGATAGGGGGACACCTTAATTCACCAAGCCTTTGAAATACTGACCCACTTTCTGCAACTTAATAGCTTAACACCAGAAAACAATTTTGTATGTACCACTACCTCATCCAACTATAATTCCATATATTATTCAAGATCACCTGACAGATTTTGCATGTGAGGCCACAGTCTGCCCTACCTGAGGAAAACATTGTGAGCGAGATCCAAAGCACCCGAGCAATTGCCTGTGAAGCTCAACAGGCATATGCAAGTCTTTAATATTTACAAAATTATATCCATGGCCCTTACTCATGCTTACAATAAATAAAGGCTGTATTTGCAAGTATACATGCCAGAATAGTTTTCTTGGGGGTTTGTCTAAGCAGGAGTTGTTCCTAATTGACAATATGTAGGGACTCTTGCTCCGAACAGAAGTGTCTTCCTTGGAACTGCTTTGCTTTACTGCTTTGCACTAAAAGTTTTCAGAGCTTTTGAGAACAATGTCATTTGTTGAGATGGCATTAGGCACTTTCATGATCATGGAAACATCTAAATTTTTGCCCAGAAATTAAGAATCTAACAGGCACTAACTTGGGATGAAATTTCTCTTGTGGCTACACGAAACTTGCATTTTGGTTTTCACCAACTGCGGCATTTTTATTTCCACCAGGGACAATTATGCATTCTGAAGTTCCTTGTCTCTTTTCTAAACTAGTGGTTAAGGATTTATGAGACAGTGCCTGCACAATTAGCTTTCTTTTCCAACCCCAGAAAAGGCCAACATGCTGGATGAATATCCTATCATTAACTGAACCACAGTCCAAATATCTCACCCAGCTACTTCCCTCTATTAGGTCTAGTAGTTTATGCTTAGCTAATACAGATCTTAAAAGCGTTATCCAATCTTGAGTTCTATGAATGAAAACAAAAACAAAAAAAAAAAAAACCCAACCAAAAAAACCCTCCTTCTCTTCCTGGTAATTTTCTCAATAATTAATCTGCCAGTTCCTACATCCTATATAGTCTCTATACTTATTCTAGCAAGGCTCAAAAAAATATGCAAGGAACAGGTTGGTCCCTGACACTCTAAATAAACAACATGGTATGAAAACTTTCATAATGTGTTCCACCCTTTCACCTCTTTTAGCCTTCCTGGGACAATCACACACACACATGAAATGTACATACAATGGAACCATAGAATCACAGGCACACAAACAGCCTGGGCTGAAAAGGACCTTTGAAGGTCATCCAGTCCAACATGAGCAGGGACATCTTCCATTATATCAAGTTGCTCAGAGCCCCTCCACACTGACCTTGAATGTTTCCAGGAATGTTTCCAGAGGATCTACCACCTCTCTGGGCAACCTGTTCCAGTATTCTACCACCCTCATTGTGAAAAATTTCTTCCTTATATCTAATGTAAATTTAACTCTTTTAATTTAAACCATTGAAACCCTACTAAAAAGTTGGTTCCCATCATTCTTCTAAGCCCCCTCTAAATACTGAAAGGCCACAATAAGGTCTCTTCCCCAGGCTGTACAGCCCCGACACTCTCAGTCTGTGTTTCTGTTTTCACAATGGGTGCTCTATTTCTCTAATAATCTTCAGGGTTCTTCTGTGGACCTGCTCCAACAGGTCCATGTCCTTCCTGTGCTGGGGACCCCGCAGCTGGACACAGCACTGCAGTGGGGTCTCACCAGAGCGCAGTAGAGGGGCAGAACCAATTCCCTCAACCTGCTGTCCACAATGCTTTGCGTGAAACAATGGTTTTTTTTAATGCAAGAACAAACCACCAGTGAAGAGATCACTTAAAATAGAAATCCCTATCAGAATTCATTGAATCCCTATCATAATTATTGAACAATACACACTGATGATGTAATTAGTCACAGCACAATGTATGTCCTGCCTCAGCATGCTCAACTGCTGCTGAGGAGTTCTGGCATGCTCATGGGTTACTGCTTATGTGTTACACCTTGCATAACACCCTTAGTTGCAGTGACTATCCCATAGCACTGCCAGACAGCTCTCATTGAACCACAGTTTTATCAAATTTGTGTAAACGGAACAAAACTGTATTAGATCCCTTGAAAATTAGCAGCTATATGCAGAGAGGCAAATCTCTGCAGATGGTTTCTGCCATCTTAAAATTCTTTCACAAGTTTCATGTATTTTTGGAACTTCTATAAGAGAAGGATTTCCTTATTTCCAAGGAAAACTAGTCATGATGTCCTTTGTGAGAAACATGCATGGACAAA